GCAGCAACAGCAGCAACAGCAGCAGCAGCAGCAGCAGCAGCAGGGAGGTGTCTGCGTGGGATCGTGTTTGTCTGATGAAGAAGTATTTAGATATTTGCAGTGTATATCCACCTCCCCACAGCGGCAGCGCGAAGGCGCATTTATTTCGCTGTCTCCATCCCATTCTAGCAGAGCACATACACTGGAGAGACACTCTTCATCAGGTGCTGCTGCTGCTGTTGCTGCTGTTGCTGTCGATGTTGCTGCTGCTGTTGCTGTCGATGTTGCTGCTGCTACTGCTCCTGTCGATGTTGCTGTTGCACCTGCTGCGAGTGTTGCTGCTTCTGTCGGTGTTGTGGCTGCTGCGAGTGTTGCTGCTGTTGCTGCTAGGGGTGTTGTTGCTGCTGCTGCTGCTGCTGCATTTTGTTCGGCTGCTGCTACTGGCGAGGGCTAACAACGTAGGCAGCTAACAGCACCTGTTTGGGGTGTATGTAGTGCTGCTGCTGCTGCTGCTGCGGTGTATTTGCTGCAGAGCAGCAACATGGAGGACCTGCGGTCGCTGGTAGACGACATTATTCGCCACTTTGCTGCTGACGGCAGCAGCAGCAGCAGCAGCAGCAGCAGCAGCAACTGCTGCTGCAGCAGCAGCAGCAAGACGTGGTACCGCCGCCACCGGCGCAGCACCGACAACGCGGAGGAGACAGAAGGAGACACTTCAACTAACAGCCAGACAGTAGACCCCTGTTCTATGGCTGCTGAGGGATTTGAAGGGTTGTTTGGCTAGCTAGCTAGCTAGCTAGCTAGCCACATAGCTAGGTGGCTAGCCAGATAGCTACCTAGCCAGATAGCTAGCTAGCCACCGAGCTAGCTAGGTACATAACTAGCTAGCTAGCTGGCTAGCTACATACCTAGCTAGCTAGCCGCCAAGCTATGCAGCTATCCAGCTAGCTGGCGACGTGTGGGCAAGCTAGCTGACGCCTTAGCAGTGGGGCGGGTAGCTAGCTAGATTTAGCTGCAACTAATCGTAGCTAGTCATAGGGAGCCGTAGCTAGCTGTAGCTAGCTGGATCGATTTAAAGGGTGCTAGGGCCGCTGCTGTTGCAGCAGAAGCAGCAGCAGCAGCAGCGCATGCATCCCCAGGTGAACGCACACCTAAGTGCAGCTAGCTGTGGGGGCTTAGTGAATGCTACTGCTGCAGCAGCAGCCGGTGCAGCAGCAGCAGCAGCAGCTCAAGCAGCAGCAGCTGAAGGGCCCTGCAGCGCAGCATCCGGGTTTTTTCTGTCTTTGTTTGCGCGGTGGACAGGGGAGTTGAGCATTATTTATTTTTTGTTTGTTTAAAGAAAACCTAAACAATTATAATGCATGCAGCCCCAAACCCTGCAGCAAGTGCGTAGAAGCGTCAGGGTTAAAAAAGAAGGCGAAGCCCTCAAAGACAAACAAGAAGAAAGGAGACAGACAAACAAAGGAGACAGACAGACAAAGGAGACAGATAGATAAAGGAGACAGACAGACAAAGGAGACAGACAAACAAAGGAGACAGACAGACAAAGGAGACAGACAAACAAAGGAGACAGACAGACAAAGGAGACAGAGGGGAGACAGACAGGCAAAGGAGACAGATAGAGGAGACAGATAGACAAGGGAGACAGACAGACAAAAGAGACAGACAAACAAAGGAGACAGAAAGGAGACAGAGGAGACAGAGAGGAGACAGAGAGACAAAGGAGACAGAGAAGAGACAAACCCACACACAAGCTACGCTACGACACGAGCTTCGCTCTAGGGAAAGGAGACAGACAAACAAAGGAGACAGACAGACAAACGAGACAGACAGACAAAGGAGACAGGGGGGAGACAAGGGAGACAGAAGGGAGACAGATAGGCAAAGGAGACAGATAGATAGAGGAGACAGATAGACAAAGGAGACAGACAGACAAAAGAGACAGGGAGAGAAGGGAGACAGAAAGGGGACAGAGGAGACAGAGAGGAGACAGAGAGACGAAGGAGACAGAGAAGAGACAAACCCACACACAAGCTACGCTACGACACGAGCTTCGCTCTAGGGTTTAGGGTTTGGCTGGAGGCTGCAACGGGCCCCCGAGTTAGTTACAGCTAGCTACAGATAGCTGCACCACCCCACAGCTACCTACAGCTAGCTATAGCTAGCTACACCTAGCTGCAGCCAGCACGTAGCTCTAGCTAGCTGCGGCTAGCTAGAGCTAGCTGCACCTAGCATGTAGATCTAGCTAGCTGCGGCTAGCTGCAGCCAGATACAGCTAGCTACAGCTAACTGCACCAACCTCGTAGCTCTAGCTAGCTGCAGCTAGCTGCAGCTAGCTGCAGCTAGCTGCACGAGGGCCGCCGCTGCGTGTCAGTGGGTAATGGCTTGGGGTGTAAAGACGAAGGAAGCAGCAGAAAGCGATGCTACAAGGAGACTAAACCCTAAACCCTAAACCCTAAACCCTATATCCTACGCCCTAGGAAGGCAATAAGAAGAACCCGCGCCGCCCACAATAGCGAAAGATCTAAACCCTAAACCCGTATATTTATTGACAGGGTTTAGAGATTAGGGTTTAGGGTTTTAGTATATGGGTTCAGACATCATAAGGGTTTAGATGTGAGTGTGTAGATGCTAGGGTTTACGCTTGAGGGTTTAGTTGCTAGGGTTTAGAACAAAAACCTTAACCTCTAAACCTCTACACCTAAACCCTAACAACTACAAACCCTCAAGCTTAAACCCTAGCATCTATACCAGCTGCTAGGGTTTAGGGTCTAGGCGTCCTTAGGTGTAAGCATAAATTAAGGGTTTAGGGTTTAGGTGTTAGGGTGCGACTGCTGGGGAGTAAACATAAAGGCTTCGAGGTTAGGGTTTCTATGTAAGGATATATATATTAGGGTTTAGGGTTTAGGGTTTAGAGGTGTTTAGGGTTTAGGGTTTAGGGTTTTTATATTTTTGTAAGATAAGGAGGGTTTAGAAAGAACATCTATCACCGCAAGGGTTTCTTCCTCTATTCAATGTCTAGACATCTCATACAGCAGACAGCTCTCCTGCTGCTGCTGCTGCTGCTGTTGCTGCAGCAACAGCAGCAGCAGCAGCAGCAGCAGCAGCAGGAGAGCAGCTGCTGGACAGGCCTCTTGCTGGGGCTGTGAGGGCATGCAGCGAAGACGCCTCTTCCTTTTGTGTTTTGTTTTAGGGTTTAAATAATATTTATTGAATTATAAACAATTAATTTAATTAGATTTATCTGCATTTTTTTACTTTAGAGAAGAGGCTTACCCCAGGTGGCGTCCTAGGCGGCCTCCTGAGCGAGGCTTGGGGTGTACGTACACCTGAGCAGCAGCAAGAGGTGCGTATACACCTGATTTCTTTGTTTATTAAATTGTTTTATTGTTTTTGTTGTATTGTTTCCAGCAGATAGCAGCAGCAGTGCATGCAGTCTGCGTCTTTTGCTGCCTCACTGCAGCAGATCCTCCGGCCCTCTCTTATATCGAGGTCTTCTCTCTCGTTTGCTGCTGCTGTTGCTTCCTGCTGCTGCTTCTTGCTGTTTCTTGCTGCTGTTCTCACGCCTCCAGGTCGTCCGCTGCCCCCCTCCTCCGTGGGGCCCTCGCCTTCCTGCTGCTGCAGCCATCCAGGTAGCTGCTGCTGCAGCACTTTCCCGCCTTAAATTGGTGCTGCAGTAGCAGCAGCTGCTGCAGCATTCTTTGTTTCTCTCTCAACTTGCTGCAGCAGCAACTGCAGCAGCAGCTGCTGCAACTGCAGCATTCTTTTTCGTTCCTGCAGCGGTAGCAGCAGCTGCAGCACTCTTTTCCTTTTCGTTTCTGCTGCAGCAGCAGCAGCTGCTGCTGCATTCTCCTTTCTTGTGTTTAGTTGCTGCACCAGGAGCAGCACATCGTGCATCACTTATATTTCTTGTCTTAAATACTGCTGCAGCAGCAACAGCTGCTGCAGCATTCTTCTTTCTTTGCTTGAGTTGCTGCTGCAGCAGCAGCAGCTGCTGCTGCAGCAGCTGCTGCAGCATTCTTTTTAAGTTGCTGCAGCAGCATGGGGTCACCTAAAGGAGGAGCCTTTGGGGCTCCTCCGCTGTCTCCTGTCTCCCTATACACCCCAAACGCCTCTCCTCAGTCGCACTCCTTCTCCCCCAGCGACAGCGCAGCTGCAGCAGCAGCAGCAGCTGCTGCTGCTGCTGCTGCAGTAGCTGTAGCAGAAGCCCCATCAGCAGCATCAGCAGAAGGTGGCCAGTCTGCATCAGCTGCAGCAGCGGAATCACCTTCAGCAGCATCCGACGCATCGCCAGCCGCAGCAGCAGCAGCAGCTGCTGCAGCAGCAGCAGCAGCAGCAGCAGAAGAGGGGGCTAGGGAGACATCTCCGGAGCGGCTTGAGGGTTTGCAGCCTCCTCTATCACCGCTTTCTAGTGTCTCCTCAGCTCCGACTGCTTCTCCTTGTGGGGTTGGTGCTGCAGGAGACAGTTTGTCTCTGTGGGGTACAGATGAAGGAGCTGCTGTCTCCGACTGGCTGCATAAAGAAGGGCTCTCTGGGGTGTACAGACTCCTAGTTGAGTCTCTATTAACTCCTGCACCGAAAACAAATGCTGGTGGGTTTGCTTTTACTGTCTCCTTTCTACTGTCTCCTTTCTACTGTCTCCTCTTCTTCTGTCTCTTCTTCTTTTGTCTCTCCTTCTTTTGTCTCTGAGGCAGACAGCAAAATGAGACAGAGATAGAAAGATAGAGACAGCAAAAGGAGACAGAGACAGAAATAGAGACAGAGTGATGAAGAGAGACAGAAAAGGAGACAGACAGCAGAGAGGGTGCCTAAAGGAGA